GGGGGGGGGGGTGGGTCACACAGAGAAAGAAGTGGAAACCCTTTAGAATCCTGGCTTCTGGGGTTCAAATGCCTCTCCGCAACAGCCCACGAAGATCCTCCCAGCCCCGAGGCACAATTCTAGGCGGCACCCCGTCTTCAACACCCACTCACAAACAAACATTCTCGCCCTTGGGAAAGGCAGCAGATTGCTTCCCCCGCCCAACCACCACCCCCAGTAGCATCTTTCCTGCCCTCTCTGAGCGCTAACTAGATTTTTAAAAAGCAAAACGTTTCGGTTTTCGGTTCCTAGACCCAGAACTGTATCCCCTCCCCACAAACACTCCTTAATTCTTCAGAGTAAGGGCTTGGGCGCCTGGTGCCTCAGAGGCTGTGTGCACACACTGGCTTCTGGGGATCCGGAGGACGGCGACTTTGAAACCGTATTTCAGACCTCGGCCTGCCTTTGGTGCCGAGTGAAGGGGCCTGGGTCGGGGTAGGGGCTTTCATATCAAAAGGAGAAACAAGTATTTGCAGCCTTGCTTCCTAGCATTCACGCCCCATTCCACTTCCTCCCCCTTTTCCGCCCTAGTTTTGAGGTACGGAAGCAGTAGCCTCTTCCCCCGTTCGGGAGCTGAATCACTCCGACTCCCCCACCCCCGCCCACATGCCGAGAAAAAGAAAGCCCTAGGGTGGCAACCAGGGTAGTGGTCCCAGTGCGATCCAGAGAGAGGGTCCTTACCTCGATGGGGCTGACGGGCGTGGAAGGCAGGGGCTGCAGGTACTCGGGGTGCAAAATGTGGCCAGTTCGTGCCGTCAGCATCTTCAGCACCTTGATTGGCAGGCGGTTGGCCTGGCGCAGGGGGTCAGAGGGAGGCACGGCGTGCACAAAAGGCTTGGTGCTGCCGGCCGGGGACGAGCCTGGGCCGGGGCCGGAGCTATTTCCAGAGAGCGCGCTGGTCCAGGCAGGGTCCGCACCGCCTCCGCCGCCGCCGCCGCCGCCGCTGTGCTTACTGCTTCTTAGGGCAGAAAGCGAGGGCGCTGTGCTCATGACCCACCCGCGCGCATGGGAGCAGCGGGGGGGAGGGCTCCGGGAGGCGCGGGGCGGGCTCGGGGCTGCGCGCTCGCCCGGTAAGCAGGAGCAGCGGGAGGAGGAGGAGCTGGCGCGGCGGCCACGGGCGCCCAGCGCGCCTTCTCGGCGCCTGGAGCCAGACGCGAGTAATCCTGGGTGGCCCGCAGCGGAGCCGTGGCCGGGCTGGAGGAGCCGGCTGGACTGCGGGAGTGCCGGGCGGCTCGCGGTGTCCGCCTGGGGCTGCTCCCCTGCGCTGCGCTCTCACGGCCCCGCGCCGACGCTGCGCTCTGCGATGTGAGCCGCTGCGTGTCCAGCCGGGGCTCTGGCGAGGAAACTCACTTCAAAAGCAGCTGCACCGAGGGGGAGATTAAAGCCTTTGCCGCCTTCCAATCAAATGGGAGCCCGAGGTGATTGGAGGGTCAAGGGGATGTGACGCGTCCCGCGCCGCCGCCGCCGCCGCCAGGACTCTCAGAGCTGGTTTTAATGGGCAGCTCCCTCTTCGCCGCCCCCCCCGTGTGTCCCCTCCCTCGATTTCGCTCCGAGGACGAGATGGACATTTATTCTACGTTTGCCATCCGCCGCCTCCCTCTTTTTTCCTCCTCGTCGTTCTTCCTTTCCTCAGCTCGAAAATAAACTGAAACCTTCTTTTGGAGGGGGGTGCGCGTGAGGAACAGACTGCGGGGGTGTCCAGAAGGAGCACCAGTGGGAGTGTGGACACCGGCCGGACTGTCAACTCCAGGGGCTAAAGGAACCCGCACACCCAGTGTTTTCTCCTTCGCAGTAATCGAGATCCCGCGCGGCGCAGCGCGGCCACCAGGGTAAGAAGGCAAGGTGGGGGAGCCGGAGCTGGAAGAAGCCCGCCCGCCCGCTCTGATTTCCTCAGATTCCGCGGCGGAGAAACCAGAAGCTAGATGGGCAGTCGCAGCGGCGGCGGCTCAACACCGCGATGCGCGCTGGGCTCTCCGCCCTTCCCGGCCACGTGACGCCCGGGGACGCGTAGATTGGGGCAGCAGCGGGGATCACATGTTTCCTCTGTTTCACACTCAGTCTCTCCCCCAACCCCCCATTCTTACTCTCCCCTTCCACCCTCTTTTCCTCCCTCCCCCCGTTCTTTGGGCATCTCCACCCCTCCATCAATTGTCAATGTTCCTCGACCGCAATCAATCAGTTATTTGTCAGCTCTTGTCAATCCTCCCGTGATTTATGTCAGCTTTTGTTGCTGATTACAAGGCGGGTGCGACTTGAAGGGAAAAAGAGAGAGGGAGAGAGAGACGGAGAGGAAGGAAGAGATCGAGAGGGAACTGGAGGAGGGGAAAGGAGGAGCGGCCTCCTGGGATGGGGGTGGGGTGGGATGGGGGCTCTAAGAAAAAGAATGAAAGAGGGGAAAGAGGCGCACGGTGTCAGGAAAATGAATAGCGAGAGTAAAGTGCGCAGGTGCGCCCAGGGCGCCGAGAGGGGTGCGCAGGCCAGGAGTGCGCGCCTGCCCTCTCGTTGTCGGAGAGACGCCCTTCCACCTCTGGGGGCTTCGGTCTGTTGGGGTCGCGGAGTTCGGGCGCGGCTCCGGGTACCCGAGACCAGCGGCGGCAACGTCTAACACGGGAGATTCCCTCCACCCCACCCCGCCGCCGCTAGTCCCCGGGGGGGGCGTGTAGCTTGCGGAGGTCAGGCTGCCACCCTCCGTAGTTCCCTAACCCCAAACTCGGAGACTTCTAAGAGCCACACCACCAAGGAACCTCGAATCCTGGAGGTCAATGGTGGGGTAAACCTCGCCTCAATTCTTTGACCCCCTCGGGTCGTAACCAGGGCTGAGAGGCTGCGAAGAAGAGGCCTGGCCATGGGTGTATGGGGGAGAAACGTCTCAGGCCCACTCATGCCCCCTTCCCGACCTTCTCCCACCTGCCGCCATCCCCGTAGGCTGGGGAGCCAGGGTCACTTGGGGCTGCTCTCGAGAATTTATTGGAACGCCGAGCCGGAACGACCTGCGCTGGGAGAGCCAAGGGAAGGAGCGAGAGAGGGAGGGGGCGGCTGCCTGTGGGAACGCGGATTCTTCCAGGGAAGCGGAGCGGGACTGCCGCGTTCCCCTCGATTTGCACCGTCACTCGAGTTGTTTGGGAAGAAAAGGGGAGGCGCTGTGCATGCCACCGGGTACCTGGACCTGGGTGCCCAGTGTGTATGCATGCCTGTGGCGCTGCGTGAATTATCGGGGCTCTGATAGCGTCTGGAGCGGGTTCGAGGGTCTCCTCCAGAAACTCGCAGAAATTATGAGGGGGTGGGTGGGTGAGGAGGACACACCCCCTTCCTCGGAAAGACTTGGAAGACTTTGAATCTCCCCTCCTCCGCTTTTCCGCCCCGGCTCTTCTTTTGTTGTCAAGTCCTTTTGATAAATGGTGGGGCTGGGAGCTCTGGGAGTCGGTAGCCAGTCTGTGCCCGCGCGGGGGGCGGGGGCCGAGCCTGGAGACCCGGTTTCGACCGGCGCGCACCCGGGGCTGAGCTGGGTACGCGCGGGGTCGGGGCTAGAACCTGCCCTCGGCGTGCCCGCCCTCTCCTCTTGGCCCATCTCACTCCGCTTCCCCACCTCACTCCCCTCCCCCAATTCTTTCTCTGTCTCCCACTCCGCAAGAATTCCGAGAACTTTCTGGGGTGAGTTTTAGAATTTGCTCCTAGGCATTCTTTTTCTGCGTTTGGATTTTATCCCTTGATTCTTTGAGTTGGTAAACTTCATGAGATGGTAACTTGACTGAAGCTCATTTGGAGAGAAGAGGGGAATGAGGCGGTGTGTGTTTGGGGCTGGTGTTTGTCAATGTGAGTGTGTAAGAGCACACCTGCATTCAAGGGGGTTTGTAGTGTCCGTGCGACATCTGAGGAAGGTCAGTCGGCGAGCGAGTGGCGAGGCCCCACGCTGTACAGGTGGTCTGGTCTCCCGGGAGCGAGTCCCAGGTGCGCGTTTCTGAGGGCGGAACAGTCCTACGCTGTCTCTGCGGGGCAGCGCGTCTGTGAAGCCGCTCTTACCCTTCGGGTGTGCCCATGTGTGCCTGGTCACTGAGTGCGCGGCCGTCTAGGTGTCGACCCAGTCAATGGTAGTGCTCCCAACGCCGCGAGCCCAGCTTTGGGCCGCTATAGCCGCGGCCTCCCCGCGAGGCCCGGGCACTGAAATTCTGGGGGCTGCGGCAGGGCTGGGGGTGACACAGCCAAGGGCGTCCCTCCCCAGCCTCCAGACTCAGCTCTTCCCCCTCTCCTCTAATTCCAGCATCTTATTACGCCGGCGGCTCAGGGGAGGCAGCCTCAGCACCTGAAGCCGGGGGGTGGGGGGGGCGGGGAGTGGCTCCCGCGTTCCCCGATGGGGCCGCACACGCTCGTAGGGCTGCGGTGTGCTGTGTGGGTGCAGGTAGTGGTCAGCGTGCGTTCGCTTTTCTCAAAACTCCACTCCGAGGGTCCGAGCGCTTGGGGGCGCCTGGGGGCCTGCACGCCCGGGGCTTTTGGGAGGCGCCAGCGTCCGAGCCTGCGCACCTCGCGCAGGAGGCCAAACCCCCGAAGGCCGCGCGGGTCCGGGGGTGGGGACCATTAATTACTCTGCGCCAGGCCTGAAGCCTCCAACCCCCAGCAGCGGTTGGCTTGGATGTCCTGCGGATTTTATTTGCACACAATGGAAATGATTTGTTTTCTCTAAAAAAGGAGTGGGCAAGGCAGACATTGGAGGAGGGGGTGGGAGGAGGAGAAGGAAGGGGAGAGAGCTGAGGAAAAAAGTTTGAAAATGCCTTGAACTATTCACTGTCGAGATGGCTAATCAGTATTGAGGCCGGAGGGCAGGCGGGCCGCCTTTCACCGCCGCTTCCCTTTCATCTCGGGCTCGGCGGAGGCGCTCAATTAAAAGCCTATCAGTTTGTAAGTAAATCAACGCCTATCAGAGTTGTCACATCAAACAAAACGATTATTATTGCAGCCCGCCTCCCCTATTAATCTCCCTCGAAGATAATCCGCCTGACAGGTCAGGCCCGGCGAGCTGGAAAGCCTGGTCCAGAGCACCCAAACAGTCCCGGACTGGCGCGCCCCCCGGGGGCCTCCCCACCCCTGTCCTGCCCCGCCTCCCGGTCCCAGGGAGCAGGGAGAGAAAGCGCGCGCGGAGGCCTTTGCACCCAGGTCCGCCCCACCGGACTGGGAGCAAGGCCCAGATTCGCGGGGCCAGTAGGGGACAGTCCCGTGCGGCCCTCGCCGCTGCTCGGGGCAGGGGAGAAGCCTGGCGTGCAGAAGCCGCGACCCGGCCTTGTCCCGGGGTCTCGCCACGGCCTGCCCTCTCCTCGGCGCGCCTCTCCTGCCTCTGATTTCTTTTTTCTGTCTCCCTTCTCCTTTTTGTTTCCTCTCCCGCGTCTTTCTGGGCTCCCCCATCTCTTTCCTTCATTTCCTTTTCCCTTTTACTTGCCAGAGAGTATTTCCCATTCTGGCTCCCTCTTCTCGGTGTGCGGTATAAACCCTTCGTGCGCAGTCACACTGCCTGGAGTAGGACGTTCTCAGGGCCCGCGGTATTTCTCCCGCGGCAGGGTTGCCCCAGGAGTGTGCAGTTCCTAGAAACTCATGGCAAAGTCCTCTCTAATCTCTTTCCGAGCAGGGGCTCTGAGAAGCTCTGCTCCTGTTTAAGGGTTGGGTGGTTTTGGAGGGGTGAAGAGGAAAAAAAGAGGGAGAGAGACTAGTGGACAATTGCCCTATTCTGGAATTAGTATTTGGCCTTGGAATGTCACAGCCGCAGCGTTGCCGACCTCGCTGTTGGCGTTGCCCGGGCTTTTCAAATACGTAGATAAGACTCACGGGGGCATCCGGGCCTCAGTAGTGACTGTGTGTGTGTGCCTGATAGAAGTAAATACACCCAGATAACTGCCTCTGTGGCCTCAAGTTAGTGCCCCAAGAGTATGGGTGGGGCCTGACTTCTAGAAGGCGCAAAAATCGTGGCCTTCTTCCCGGTGGCCTCCGCTTCCTGCTTTGGGATGCCTCGGAATCGAGCCGGACTCGCCCTTTTCTGCGCTCTTCCTCCACATCTATAGACCCAAACAGCCACTGCCAGAGCCAGGTGGAGCCAGGATTGAAGGGTAGCTGAAGTGTCTGTGAGGAAAGGGCTGCCCGGGGGAGCTCAGGCCTGCCACCTGATATGTCGGTTCAGTGCTCCGCGAAGGCTCTTCGCGCCTGTAGCCTGTATCTCGGAGGACCCCCAGGGCGCTGCAGTATTGGGCGTCAGGGCCGAGCCTCTCGCAGCAGTCACGCGGGGAGGCCACGAACATCCAATAGAGCCCACTTCAACTTGCATGGTGCATGGGGTCCAGGACCGGTGGCCCCCATACAGGGTTTCCGAAAGCCTCTCCATTTGTCTGCACTCTCCACTGCCGACCTTGTAGGAAATTTATTTCCATGCCCAGAAATATTGTTTGGACACAGTGGCTCGGTTATCTTCGCGCCTGCTTTTCTTCAATATATTTATTTCACCTCTGCCACGCTGCAGATATTTAAAGATCTGTAGATACCGTAACCCTCAGCGATGCGGGACTCACACTGGTTATAGATAATATTCTCTGGGTGGTTATTTGGACATAAGTTCTATCTCCAGCCCTGATGACACCCAAGCAGGGGCTGTAAAAGGACACTTGTTCTATAATTTTTTCAAGTGAAATATATGTCCACACACGGAGAATTTAAGAGTATTTTTATATTTCTCTCTATATCTAAATATTTAGATGTGTTAATTACATGCCCTGGAAGCTGGAAGCGATCAGTGGTGTTCACAGTGGACGTGGAGCTGTTTGTATAACTTTCATCTCCTTGCACTTACACATGAATCTCAGTCTAATAAATTCAACCTTGTCATTTTTAGAATCGACGGGATTTCTCTGGCTGTCGTTTGCGCTGCATTTATCCGAATAAATCCAGCTCGCAGGCATCCTGCAGGAAACGGCTCCCGGCTCGCGTGTACGCCGACACCTCGGCCCAACGCGGGACTCGAGGTGGCTCCTAGTGCCTGGGCGGCTGCTAGTCCGGCCTCCGAGGGAGGCTGGACAAGCGGCGCCCCCAGGTCGAGCGGCCTCTCACTGCCTGGCAGCCCCCAGCTCTGCCGGTGCTTCGGAAACCCGCCTGGCCAGGTTCGCCCGCAGTGAAAAATGAAAGCAAATTCCCCTACAGAGGTAGCCCGAACTTTCCTTGACGAAGGCTCTCTCTTGAGCCTGGATCTCGAAGAAACCCCAGAGCGCTGCAAGTTAGCAACAGAGATTCGATGGCGGCTCCGGAGGGCGCGCGAAGGGTGGGGCGAGGGGGCAAAAAGGACACTGGGTGACCCAGCCTGGCCCAGGGCGAAACGCAAGAGAAGGCGCCTCGCCTTCCTTATTTCAATGCAACTCCTTGGCCCTAGACGGTAAAAATAGTTTCCAAGCTGCCGCGGACGCCCAGGATGTGTTTGCAGAGATCAAACTGGGGAGGAAGCGGCTTTGTAAAAGTTGCAGAAAGATTAGCCCAGAAGCGTCCGCCCGGCGGGGCTCAAGAAAGCTTGAGGACAGCTTCACGTTCCTTGGGGCGGAATGGCCCAAGAATTGGCCTGGGTAACCCCCTGCCCAGTTCTCTGTGCTCACTTCGAGCCAGCGCTTAAATAACTTCCCGCCGCCTGCCCTGCAAACTTCCAGGCGCGGCGCCGGCGAGGCCAGGACACAGCAAAGGCTAGCAAAACCCCGCCGCGGCGCGCTCGGCCCCAGCCCTGAGAGGCTGCACGGGGTGGGAGAACCAGTGTGGTTTTCGCTCCCACTCGGCTGCCCAGACCCTCAAGACCGATCCCCCCAACTCCTGGGAGCGGGTGCTTCCCTCTGGGAGTCGAGATCTTGCGGGGCCGGCGAGGGCGCAAAGTGCGCTCGCTAGCCCGCGCGGGGGCGGCCGCGCGTCTCTCCGCGGGGCCTGTCGCCAGGCCGGCCGCGGCGGGTGAGTGATGAGGGCAGAGAAGGGCGCCCATAAATCGCGGGTGTCAGGGCGAAAAACTCTCTTTATTGTCTGCGTGATGGATGGGCCCGGGGACGAGACACCAAATACTTCGTATCGCCTTTAAATGGGAACACATTTTCCGCGGCCATAATTCATGTTTTTTAAATAGAAAGTTTGAAATGTTGCCTATATTTCACCAGCCCTGACATATTTATGAATCGCTCCCTGCATGCAAATATCATTATTTAAAGCGCCGGGGAGAGCGCGGGGGAGGGGAGGAGGCGCGGTTCCTGGGGCGTGGGGGTGGTGAACCGGGGAAATGTCGGTGGAGGGGGGCCATTTCCCTAAAGGGCAGAGGGTGAGGTGCGGGGAATAGCCGTATCCGGAAACCGAGCGTGCCCCGGGCTTCTCTCCCGCCGCCGGACCCCGCACGGCCGACCCGGGACGTTTTTCGAGGCTTGGGACCTAAGACAGGCCCCCGGCCCCTGCTGGGAGACCAGGGGGCGTTTTTCGTCCCTCTCTGAGGCCGTTATCCAAGCCGAAACCACCTTTTCTAAGAAACAAGTTAAAAAAAAAAAGAAAACCAAAAAGAATTTAACAAACACAAATAATAATAACCCAACATATTTCGTGTTCTTTGCCACTGCATCGATTTTATTGATTTTCATTCTCCAAACCTGGGAATGTGCGCACCCGGGAGGGGAGACTGTCAAAACCCAGTCACCTCGGGGACTGGGTGGGGGACAATTCTCCAACGCCGCGGCCTGGACCCGCCCCCACCCAACCGGCGCACCACCTCCCAGGCACCACGGAGCCTGCGCAAGCTGCGGGGCCTTAGCACAACCGGCCCGCAAGCTCCCGGGGCTTCAGTCCCGCCCCTCTGTCTCCCCAGCGCCCTGCAGCGCTCCTAGGGTCCTTGTCTACCCTCCCCAAGCCCCCACTGTAAATACAATCGCTGTAAAAAAAAAAAAAAAAATCAATCTTTTTAAAGCCAGGCACTTGCCGTCGGCCTCTCCCCTGCCCGCCTGACCCAGGAGGCGCCCACACCTGCGCCCTCACTTGCCGAGACTTTACCTGTGCAGTCCCCCGCGGCGCCTGCAGCCGCGCAGGTAGCCGAGAAATGGAAGGGAGGGCTGGGGAGTGGAAGGGACAGAGAGCACCGTCCGACACAGCCAGACGCGCGGACCCGGGACCTCCTCTCTGGACCGGTGCTGGGGCCCCGGCAGAACCAGCTCCGGGAGCCGAATTGCGCCAGGAAGAGTGGGCCGGGGGAGGGGCGAGGGGAACGGGCCTCGGGAGGGAGGGGCGGGCCCGGCGGCACTTCCGCTGGGGGTGGGGCTGAGGGCTGACGCGCCGGTCCCGCCTATCAGCCGCGCGGGCCCGCCCGCTCCAGGCCAGGCTCCGCCCCCACCGCCCCCGAGCGGGATCTCAGGTCACTGCCCCCCCAAGCGCCCCCGCCCCCGGAGGCCTCGGGCTGAACCGGGTTTCGTGGGAGGGCAGAGGGCGGCTCCCTTTTCCTCACCTGGGGGTACTCTCTTTTTAAGTCATAGGAACAGAAGCATCTGCGGACTAGGATCCCAGGCCCAAACTTGCTCGTGAGATTTGTTGAAACTTAGGTCATTTGGTACTCCTGGCCCAGGGGTCCTCACGCTCTCTCTGCGGATGTGAGCAGCCATCCTCTCGGACAGTCGGGAATATAGTCCGTGATCACAGGGCCCCACCTATCTTTCAGGAAGAACAAAAACAAAAACTAACACTTTTTGATTGTTCATTTTGTGCCAGGTGCCATTTAGAAAATTTCGTATGAATTATGTCCTCGCCCACAGCGACTCTCTGAGGTAGGTACCATGAATGCCCCATTTCATAGATAAAGAAATTGAGGCCCAGAGAGAATAAATCGGCCTTGCCTCACCCACATCCCATCCTTATCCTTATTCCTTCTTTTCTTCAGATCTGGAGCATCCCAACTCCTTACCCTGGGGGAGTATTGGAGGGAGGGGGACTTTTACTTTTCTGATGGGGGAGTACTAGCCTGTTAACCACAACCATTTGCAGCTGAGGCCAGTGCAGAGCAGGAGGGGGATCTGCACAGAGGAGAACGGTATAAATGGCATGGGGTCATCTCAGCCCCTGGCCAGCTCCCAGCCTAGTGGGAAAAACGGACCATTGAGCATCCTATAGTCCCAGCCCAAGCCAGTGTGCCTTCTTTAAAAAGCAAATCCAACCATGTTTCTCTTCTGCTTAAAAGCATCCGGGTTCCCATTGTTCTTGAGAACAAGTTGAGCTTGCCTCCCCTGGCTGGCGGGTCTACACTGGCTCTGCCCCAGCTTGCCTTTCTGCCTTGGTCTGCCTCCACACCCCCTCACCCAGAACTCCTGCTACCCAAGGCTTCCTTTTAGTTCCTCAAGTGTGCCATGCTACTCCCCACCTCAAGGGCTTTGCTCCTGCTTTTCTCTGCCTCTCTGGAATGACCTGTCCTTCTCTTCACCTGCCTTGCTCATCCTCTTCCTTCAGTTCTCAGCTCACACATCACTTTCCTGCGTCCTCCCACGTCCCATTACCCTCACTTATAATAGAATTTCCTGTTGAGAGTCTGTCCCCTTCACTGGATGGTAAACTCCCAGGGGACTGGGGCTGTTCCTTCAAGGAACAAATGAAGAAAGAGCATTTGTGTAAACCACCAACTATGATGAACGAATGAAACTGCACTTTTTGGGGCCACCAGTAAGTATTCTGTATGGTCTCACATTCCAAGATGTTCTCAACTTAATGAGGAAGATGATACAAATCTCATGAAAATGTACATTATTTTGAATGCCTTTATTGTAAATGTCAAATAAGGGGATGCTGGAGGAGGTTGGAGAAGAGTAATATGCATGGATTACAGTCATTTATTCAGGGTTTCAAGATGCAAGATGTGTTGGTTGACACAATTTAATGGAAAAACATGCCACCCACGACCATCTCCCAGTGTTGGGCATGTATGTCTCAAGGCTCTAGCCTGCGCCCCCTTTCCTCTTCCTTTCTTCACATATTATTGCTATCACAGTTCAGTTCTTACTAGTTTCTGACTGAACTGCTGCTACAAGAACCTTCTAATTGTTCTGCCCATCCTCCACCTCTCCTGCCTCTAATCCATTATACATACTCCTGCTGGGTTAATTTTCCTGACCATATCATTCCCTTACTCAAAAATCTTCAGTGGCTCCCTATCACACAATGTAACACTTGACTCTTCATAACCCACTTCCAAACTACTTTTGTAAAGCTTTAAGATACATTCCAAAATTATGAAAGAAATACATGTTCACCTCAACTAGGAAAACACTCAAAGATATACAAAGAAAAACATTAGTGATCTTCCTCACCTCCTCTGCATTTCCCACCCAGTCTCCCAAGATATCCATTGTTAAGGACCTGCGGTGTAACTTCTACCCCTTTCACCATTCTCCATGCTCATAATAAACTACATTCATATATGTGGAGCTATTGTGTTATTGCCTGTTTATACAAAAAGGATTATATTGGGGTCTCTGCAACTTGCTCGTTCTTTCTTAATAATAAATGGGTCTATAGATATGGAATGAATATATTCATTTTTTAGCTACATAGTAATTTTAATTTTAATTTTTAAAAAAATATGTATATATGTATGTAAGTATTTTAGACAGGGTCTCACTTTGTTGCCCAGGCTGGAGTGCAGTGGCACAAACATGGCTCACTGCAACCTTGACCTTCCAGACTCAAGGGATCCTCCCGCCTCAGCCCCTCAAGTAACTGGGACTACAGGTACGCACCACCACTCCTGACTAGTTTTTGTATTTTTTGTAGAGACGGGGTTTTTCCATGTTGCCCCAGCTAGTCTTGAACTCCTGAGCTCAAGGGATCCACCTGCCTTAGCCTCCCAAAGTGTTGGGATTACAGGCGTGAGCCACCATGCCGGCCAGTGACATAATGTTTCATAGGATGTATATACTACACCTATTCAACCATTCCCCTATTAATGGGCACATAGATTGTTACCAGATTTTTTTTGCTAATAAAATTTCTTATGTCTATATCCTTGCAATTAGTGATTTTACTTCTCTAGGATAGTTTACCAAAAGTGCAGCTACTTACACATCAGCCAAATTGAATTTCTTTGTTCTCCCCACGTGCCCTGTGTTTTCCTTCTGTCTCCTCTGCCTGGAAAGCCCTTGTTCTCCATGCTTGTGTGTCTAACTTCCAGTCCTGCAATGGTCAAATCTGATACCAGAATTTAGATATATTATCTGATATCCGCCTCCCTCCACCTTCCTCATTTGAACACTGCAGTAATGTACCAGGCCCAGGCAGTGGTTTGCATTTGGCATAGGCTGATCATGACAATCCTGTTTTCATCTTTCCCTTGCATTCCTGTAGCTGGGTGGCCATGCAACCTATTTTGGCAAATGAGGAACAAGTAGAAGTACAGGGGTGGCAAAGCAGGAAGTGAGTGTTGAGAAGCACTCTATTTTCATGATCAAAGGGGATGATGCCTATGGTTGGACCCTTCCCTTTCCCCTTCTTCCTTGCATGAGCTTGGACATAATATCTAGAGCTGTAGTAGCCATCTTGTGACCATGAGGGAAAGTCCTAGAAAACAGAAGAAAGAGACTTAATCCTGATGTCATTGGGACACTGAGCCATCACCAACAATCCTCCTTCTCCAAAACTTTTATTTTGTTAGAAAATCCCTATTCATTTAAGCTAGTGAAATTGGGGATTTTTATAATTGTAGCCAGACATATTCTTCACCTACTTTAGCAAGAAATACCACCCTCCATCTCAGAAAAGGAAAAAAAAAAAAAAAAAAAGCCATCACAGTGGTCCAAAACAGTTTTTAGAAACTTTAGAGACTTGCCTTCAAGTATAGCTTTTGAAATAGCCTCAGAAGCAGACAAACAGTCTTATGGCATGGCTTTGGTATTTTAGAATGGCCAAAAGACACCTGGAGGCAAGCATGGTAATACCTTTAACCTTCAGTGCTATAGTTAAGTATTGCATGGTGGACATTTAGTTTCTTCCTACTCATTTGGTTGCCTAACATCTGAATCCTCTTGCTTGTTGGAAAGCAGGGCCTGTGTCTGATTACTGAAGTGGAAGAGGCCACATCCTCCTTCTCTCTGCCCTCTACCAATGGATGCTCCCTACCTGGGTCTCAGACTCAAAGGGTGAGCAGAGGATTGTGGTAGTTTGGAAACTCTTCTCAGTAGCAGCAGTGAGCCCAGTGCAATGGCATTGACTAGGAGGGGCAGAGAGGACAGTCACTGCCATGTGCACTGTGATCATGGCAGCCACTCAGGCAGTGGCCTAACTCAGCTGGTATGGTAGCATAGCCAACCACATTTCCATTTCCCAGCCGCTGACAATTCCTGTCCACTTCCCAAGTCTAGGTCTCTAGTCTTCCCACCAATTCTGTGAACTTCCTGATATCCTTTTGATACATTCCTTTTCTGCGTAAGTTAATCAGAGCTAGTCCTGGTCACTCACAACCAACAACATCAACTGATTTGCCATAGCCTGGCTGTTCAGGTGGCTTCTAAACAGGTCCAATGGTGATTACTTCTTAGTTGTGTCTGTGGGTTCCTATGATGGGTACTTGTGTGGGACCCCAGCACCAAA